AATTAAGTGATCAAATGAATGAATGAAATGAGAATTTTAAAGCATTGATGTCTATATATGTGTATGTGTATATATATTAGTTTCTTCTTAAAAGTGACAAACATAGCCACTTGGTAAGAATAGCTGTGATTATGTTATAACCTTTGCTTTTTCCCCTCCCTTTTAGGGCTCTTTCAAGATTTGCATGCCCTTTTTCTCTCTTACATTACATTCAATTTACAGAAATCACCCATTAAAAAAAAAAAAATCAAATCTTTTTCTTGGATCAACTCTCCAGGTAATACAAAACACTTCATGGTTCTCATCATTATTGTAATCTATCTATACATTCATTACCCTTGTATATTCTTGTTTTGCGCTTTGAATCTTTGCATGCCTATATCAGTTTATCCCTCAAATCTTTCGTGTTCTGGGTTTCACTTTCTCGTTTAATGCCGAAAAACTGTTGATGTTGATAGAGAGAATTGGAAAGACTTGTTGATGTAGTTTGAATTTTGGGTTGACTAGTATTACGTATATTTTAGTCGTGTTAAATATTCTGAGTATTTTGATCATATTAAAAACTAGTTTAAATTAGTTGAGAAAATTATAATTTTTTGGATATCTTAAAGTTTATAACTTTATAGGTGGATGTACTTTTGATTTTTATTGTAATGGAAAAACTTTTGTCTGTTTTATGTGTGAATGTAGATATCTCTGCTAAAGTATGTAAATTTTGTGTTTTTTCTTCTTTTACTTTTTATTTTGTGTGATTGTGTGCGTAATTGAAATTTATTTCCACAACAAAAACAATGTACATATTATATACATGTAGATATATATACATATATATATTGTTTTTGTATAAGTTGATAGATTTGAATTTGAGAATTTGGGTGTATTGGATTAGAGGTAAACACGATCTCAAAGTTTTTGGATTTCTCAAGATTTCTTAACGAATGAATATTTTATTATTATAGTTTTGAGCAAATCTAACAATTCAAAATTATATTATTATAATTCAAAACTATTATAAAACTCTTGATTTGCTCAAATCTTGTAGGCCATCCGAACCCAGATGCAATTTTCTGCTGCTTGCTCTAATGACTCAAGAAGATAAACAAGCTTTGCTTCCTGCAAATACACTAGAAGCTTCTGTAAATGTCAATGGAAACAACCCATTGCAGAGAAGAAGAAATTCCCACAAGTTCAATCCTCCTAACTCAAACAATTCTCATTTTCTTGCTAATGAAGAAAATCCCACTACATCACCTCTTCTTCTCCCCACTGAAAACCAAACAATCACCAAAAAAAGTTTCAACTTCAAGAAAGTTTTCATGCTGTTAGGTGCTTACCTAGGTGTTGGAACTCTTTGTTTCTTCCTTATCAGGAATCAAATAGAAGGAAAAAAGACGAATGGCTTCGTAGATTCCCTATACTTCTGTGTTGTAACAATGACTACAGTTGGGTATGGAGACCTGGTTCCTCATAGAGTGTATGCCAAGCTATTAGCCTGCACGTATGTCTTCGTGGGTATGGCTTTCGGAGGACTATTTCTCAGCAAAGCAGCTGATAAGATCGTGGAGAATCAAGAGATTCTCTTGGTTAAAGCCTTTCACTTGAATGAACAATGTGTAGATGGATTTGAGACAGTACACAAACATAATAAACATAAGTTCCTTGTGGTTTTGCTTGCACTTGTTGTGCTTATGGTTTTAGGAACTTTGTTTTTGTATCTTGTCGAAAACCTGGGATTCGTTAATGCAATTTACTGTGTTTGCTGCACAATCACTACTTTAGGCTACGGAGACGAGAGTTTCTCAACAGAAAGAGGAAGAATTTTCGCGGTTTTCTGGATTCTCAGCAGCACCATTTGCTTAGCTCAAAGCTTTCTTTACCTAGCTGAACTATATACTGAAAGAAGGCAAAGGAAACTTGTTCAATGGGTTATGTCAAGAAAGTTTACATGGTCAGATCTGGAGGCTGCAGATCTTGATCATGACAAAGTAGTCAGGTAAACCTACTTCACAACTTATCTAACACAAAATAGGCTAAACAAACCCAGATTGTCTTTCAGGTTATCGATGATTTTTAAAAGTGTTTGGATTGACTTATTTTTCGATTAATGATCACAGTGTTGCGGAATTTGTCCTATACAAGTTGAAGGAACTGGGAAAGATCAGTGAGCAAGATATCTTAGTAATGATGGAGAGGTTCAAGCTTCTTGATGTTGATCAATCAGGAACTTTGACAGCCGCTGATGTTGTTGGATGTAATTCCACATCGATCAAGTATGAAAAGTTATAATGAATTATCGCTTTCTCGGACAATTCTTCTTAATACTATACGATTTTAGGTTAGAATTTAATAGATTTAATGACAACTTATCAGCATAAAGAGATTTCTTAATAGAGTTGGTTTTCATGAACAATGTTTAAAAGTAATATACAGTATTAAATTTTTGTTTTGTACTTTTTTCCATTACTTTTTTCTTTGATGAGGTTAAATTGTATGTATATAAAAAGTTAAAGTTAAATTTTAACTCAACTTCAGTACATAATGCTGTAGGTTTTGTATGTATTTTCAAATTTACTTGTTTACAATTTGAATATTTACAAAGTATAGATATAAAGAGAGCCTGACATTTTATTTATTGACCCTGGTAATTTAGACTTACCATAAACAGTTCATTTTACAATTTGAAAGGTTAAAAACTAAATTTTACAGAGAAAACAGAGTACAAAAGAAAAAACAGAGGAGACTGTAAATTACCCATCATTCATAGCTATGAATCTTCTCTCCATGCTGCTGGTTTCTTCCTGCAACATAATCAATAAGTCCTTCACCAGCTTTTTCACCATGACCTTCCATTGAAAGCTGAGAAAACCCACCAAACGCCATTATCACCACCAAGAACACCGCAGTCGATGCAAACAGAGGCCAAAAATAGGCAAGAATGGTGAGAATTCTAGGCGCTGCAACTGATACTAAAGAAACAATCAATGAAAGGATGATTCCTGCGATGATATGATATCTGTACTCCATAAATTTTACCGGGATCTCCATGGTTTTTCTCTGTTTCAAGCTCTCAGAAAATTTTTTACAAGATTCAGAGGCTTGAGAAACAGAGATTTGCTTTTTCAGTTCTTGGTTTGAAGTCTTTCTTTGTCATTCTCTGTTTCTTATTATTACTTTTATTTTTCTGTGGGAGATTCTTCTTGTTTTC